AAACACTTACTAAAACTAAAACTAAGCATGTTAAATTCATGTTCCTTCTAGTTTATGGTCAGGGTTACCTGCTGCAAGGCAGTGGTTTATATATTATTTGTATGTGGTTTTCAGGTAGCCTACATATTTTTTTGTGACAATTCTACCATCCAAAGACAAGGTGACATAACTTCACATTTCATGATTTTGAGAAAAACATCAAAAACTGTTGATGTTATTTTTTAAAATAAGTCATTTTTGTAGCTTACTTCACTTTGAAAACGACTATTTCTTAATGTAGAGATACATTTTCCTACATTTAGCACAAAAAGGATACGGGCAAAATTGTGTAACAAACCAATAAAACAAAAAAAATCGATTTTGTCAGATATTTCGCTCCGCCTCGGGATGGCAGAATTGCTAGATCTCTATATACCCATTTGCTGTTGAATGAAGTGAGGAAATTTGGGGAAAGTACATTTGTGAAGCTGGAAATCAAATAACGATTTGCTACATTTTTATTGCTAGTCCAATGGCTTACAGCTACACTCTTATTCAAAATGGAGAACAGACAGACTATGGTTGCTGTCTTTTAACAAATTTCTTCCCTTCATGCACTGTTATTACTACAACAAAAATTCTACCTGCTTTATTTTTTAAAATTATTTTTAAAAAGTTATCTTACTCTAAGCTTAAAGGGGTGTTAAACCTATACCATTTCACGATTTGTTTCTTGTTATAAACTTTCAGTTCAAAGAACACTTGACAGGATGCAGCTGGGAGATCCCTGGCATGTCAGCTCAGATACCCCAGGACTGGATGTAAGCCTGTTATTTATTTATTATTATTTTTTTTTTATTTCTCAATCTAATACTGCTCAAGATGCCATGTAAGTTATTCAGAAGGCTGAAATCCTTGTCGTCCTCCAGGATCAGACCCATGGGGGAAAAATACTCTTGAAAAGACAGGGGAGATTAAGACCCTGGTCTGGGTGAGGTTTTAATCCGAAGTTAACAAAGTTGTAAGCCTAATATTGCCATAACAGTAGGTAATTTTACAAGGAAAACAACAGTTGTCTATTTCTGTTATAACAAAAGTTAACAGGGCTGTTAATCCTTTCAATGCTTACTTGTTTGAAATTTTTGTTGCAATAATTTGGAAGATGTCAGTAGGTCAACACTATCCACCTAATAAATGCCTTCCCAAACTCAGAGACAAACCAGACATTTCTGCTTTGGCTTGGTGAGTAGTGAGTTTAGACTCAACAGTAACGTTAAGGAAGTGTCGATAACACGGGGACCAGATTGGTGGTCTCTGAGGTGTGTTGTTGAGCAAGACACGACAATCCTAGCTAAAAAAAACAAGGCCTGCACAGTGATGGCCGGCAATGGCATGATTGTGTAATTTTTCTGTATTGGTGTAATATTGTGTATTTATGTATGTATATATATGTGTATGTATTTATGTACATATTATGTATTTATAATTATGTATTTATGTATGTATGTATGCTTGCCATCGTAAACCAAATTGCCCTTCTGGGATCAATAAAAATGTAATTTATGAGAGGCATATATAGTCTGAACCTCCCCTCTCAGTATTTTTGGTTTCTTTTCAAATTTTGGTTTTAATTCTGTTTTAGTGTATGTGCACATGTTGTTTTTTTAAAAATTATTTCTTTTTATTTTTCTGATGTGATATGATGATCATCTTGTCCTTGTTTTTTGGTTATTTTTTTTTATTGACTCTTTAATTACCATTTTTATGATTGGTGATACCTTCTGGATACTTATGATGCTTGTCACCCCTCCCCAGAAATAGATTTTGTCCAGTTTGAAGTTGAAATGTTTTTTTACTTTCATCAGACTTCTATCTATATTCCACCTGGGGTGGTCACAGCTTCTGGGGCGTTATTCAACATAGTCGTGAGGCACAGAAAAACCCAGCAGTTGTCTACCTTCATGACACGGATGTACACACCCGTCAAGGTCAATGTGTTCTTTTTTGTTGTTGTTTTGTTTTGTTAACTGCATTGGTACATACCATCCTGCACCCCGTCCTTGTTCCCCCTCACACACATACGCACGCGCGCACACACACACACACACATACATGCACACACACGCACACACACAGTCACA